TGCGTTTATTTTCAGCAAACTTAACATGTGTAAATACTTGTATGAACATAACAAGATTCAACAACTGAGACATAAACTGAACAAGTTCCACAGACATGTGACTAACAGAAATGGAATAATGTGTCCCTGAACAAAGGGGGTGGGGGGGTCAAAATCAAAAGTAACAGTCAGTTTTTGGTGTGGCCACCAGCTGCATTAAGTGCTGCAGTGCATCTCCTCCTCATGGACTGCACCAGATTTGCCAGTTCTTGCTGTGAGATGTTACCCCACTCTTCCACCAAGGCACCTGCAAGTTCCCGGACATTTCTGGGGGGAATGGCCCTAACCCTCACCCTCCGATCCAACAGGGCCCAGACATGCTCAATGGGATTGAGATCCCGGCTTTTCGCTGGCCATAGCAGAACACTGACATTCCTGTCTTGCAGGAAATAACGCACAGAACAAGCAGTATGGCTGGTGGCATTGTCATGCTGGAGGGTCATGTCAGGATGAGCTTGCAGGAAGGGTACCACATGAGGGAGGAGGATGTCTTCCCTGTAACGCACAGCATTGAGATTGCCTGCAATGACAACAAGCTCAGTCCAATGATGCTGTGACACACCGCCCCAGACCATGACGGACCCTCCACCTCCAAATCGATCCCGCTCCAGAGTACAGGCCTCGGTATAACGCTCATTTCTTTGATGATAAACCCGAATCCGACCATCACCCCTGGTGAGACAAAACCGTGACTCGTCAGTGAAGAGCACTTTTTGCCAGTCCTGTCTGGTCCAGCGACGGTGGGTTTGTGCCCATAGACGACGTTGTTGCCGGTGATGTCTGGTGAGGACCTGCCTTACAACAGGCCTACAAGCCCTCAGTCCAGCCTCTCTCAGCCTATTGCGGACAGTCTGAGCACTGATGGAGGGATTGTGCGTTCCTGGTGTAACTCGGGCAGTTGTTGTTGCCATCCTGTACCTGTCACGCAGGTGTGATGTTCGGATGTGCCGATCCTGTGCAGGTGTTGTTACACGTGGTCTGCCAATGCGAGGACGGTCAGCTGTCCGTCCTGTCTCCCTGTAGCGCTGTCTTAGGCGTCTCACAGTACGGGCATTGCAATTTATTGCCCTGGCCACATCTGCAGTCCTCATGCCTCCTTGCAGCATGCCTAAGGCACGTTCACGCAGATGAGCAGGGACCCTGGGCATATTTATTTTTGTGTTTTTCAGAGACAGTAGAAAGGCCTCTTTTGTGTCCTACGTTTTCATAACTGCACCGTTCCACAGGTGCATGTTCATTAATTGTTTATGGTTCATTGAACAAGCATGGGAAACAGTGTTTAAACCCTTTACAATGAAGATCTGTGAAGTTATTTGGATTTTTACGAATTATCTTTGAAAGACAGGGTCCTGAAAAAGGGCTATTTCTTTTTTTTGCTGAGTTTATATATACGTGTTTGTTTTGGGCTTCGTCCCCGTCGTTTTTCATGACGTACCTTGTGTTGGGTGGAGTAATAAATACCCCTAATACGTATTCCTGCGCCTGTCTTCTAATCATTATACAACGTGACACACTGGGAGACAAATTCACCTTTCAGCCACACAATAACCTAAAACACTAGGCCAATTATACACTGGAGTTGCTTACCAAGACGACATTGAATGTTCCTGAGTGGCCTAGTTAAAGTTGACTTAAATTGGCTTGAAAATCTATGGCAAGACTTGAAAATGGCTGTCTAGCAATGACCAACAACCAGAGCTTGAAGAATTGTAAAAAGATTAAAGGGCAAATATTGTACAATCCAGGTGTGCAAAGCTTATAGAGACTTACCCAGAAAGACTCACAGCTGTAATCGTTCCCAAAGGTGATTCTAACATGTATTGAGTGAGTTGAATACTTAGTGTTTTATTTTCAATTTAATTAAAAAGAAAAATTATTATTTTCCTTCCACTTTTACATTAGAGTATTTTGTTTAGATTGTTGACAAAAAAATGACAATTCAATCCATTTAAATCCTACTTTGTAACACAACAAAATGTGTAAAAAGTCAAGGGGTGTGAACACTTTCTGAAGGCACTGTACATACCTACAGTGAGGGAAAAAAGTATTTGATCCCCTGCTGATTTTGTACGTTTGCCCACTGACAAATAAATGATCAGTCTATAATTTTAATGGTAGGTTTATTTGAACAGTGAGAGAAAGAATAACAACAAAAAAATCCAGAAAAACGCATGTCAAATGTTATAAATTGATTTGCATTTTAATGAGGGAAATAAGTATTTGACCCCCTCTCAATCAGAAAGATTTCTGGCTCCCAGGTGTCTTTTATACAGCTAACGAGCTGAGATTAGGAGCACACTCTTAAAGGGAGTGCTCCTAATCTCAGCTTGTTACCTGTATAAAAGACACCTGTCCACAGAAGCAATCAATCAATCAGATTCCAAACTCTCCACCATGGCCAAGACCAAAGAGCTCTCCAAGGATGTCAGGGACAAGATTGTAGACCTACACATGTCTGGAATGGGCTACAAGGCCATTGCCAAGCAGCTTGGTGAGAAGGTGACAACAGTTGGTGCGATTATTCGCAAATGGAAGAAACACAAAAGACTGTTAATCTCCCTCGGCCTGGGGCTCCATGCAAGATCTCACCTCGTGGAGTTGCAATGATCATGAGAACGGTGAGGAATCAGCCCAGAACTACACGGGAGGATCTTGTCAATGATCTCAAGGCAGCTGGGACCATAGTCACCAAGAAAACAACTGGTAACACACTACGCCGTGAAGGACTGAAATCCTGCAGCGCCCGCAAGGTCCCCCTGCTCAAGAAAGCACATATACAGGCCCGTCTGAAGTTTGCCAATGAACATCTGAATGATTCAGAGGAGAACTGGGTGAAAGTGTTGTGGTCAGATGAGACCAAAATCGAGCTCTTTGGCATCAACTCAACTCGCCGTGTTTGGAGGAGGAGGAATGCTGCCTATGACCCCAAGAACACCATCCCCACCGTCAAACATGGAGGTGGAAACATTATGCTTTGGGGGTGTTTTTCTGCTAAGGGGACAGGACAACTTCACCGCATCAAAGGGACGATGGACGGGGCCATGTACCGTCAATTCTTGGGTGAGAACCTCCTTCCCTCAGCCAGGGCATTGAAAATGGGTTGTGGATGGGTATTCCAGCATGACAATGACCCAAAACACACGGCCAAGGCAACAAAGGAGTGGCTCAAGAAGAAGCACATTAAGGTCCTGGAGTGGCCTAGCCAGTCTCCAGACCTTAATCCCATAGAAAATCTGTGGAGGGAGCTGAAGGTTCGAGTTGCCAAACGTCAGCCTCGAAACCTTAATGACTTGGAGAAGATCTGCAAAGAGGAGTGGGACAAAATCCCTCCTGAGATGTGTGCAAACCTGGTGGCCAACTACAAGAAACGTCTGACCTCTGTGATTGCCAACAAGGGTTTTGCCACCAAGTACTAAGTCATGTTTTGCAGAGGGGTCAAATACTTATTTCCCTCATTAAAATGCAAATAAATGTATAACATTTTTGACATTCGCTTTTCTGGATTTTGTTGTTGTTATTCTGTCTCTCACTGTTCAAATAAACCTACCATTAAAATTATAGACTGATCATGTCTTTGTCAGTGGGCAAACGTACAAAATCAGCAGGGGATCAAATACTTTTTTCCCTCACTGTACCTCAGCTACCTCGTACCCCTGCACATTGATATAGTATATTGGTGTACTTATACTGTACTTAAATTCATTCTTGTGTTTTATTTCTCGTGTTTTTAGCTTCTAATTTTACTCTGCATCGGTGGGAAAGAGCTTGTTAGTAAGCATATCACTGTAAGGTCTACACCTGTTGTTGTATTTGTTTCGTTGCCACAAAACTTATTTAATGAGAAATACATTGCCCAGGAGAGAGCGCACACACACGCACAGTCATGTACACACACGCGCACGCACACACACACACAAAAACCCACATTGCCTGTAATGCCATACACAGCTCTGAATCGAAAATGAGGATAAATAATTGATAAGGGACGTCTTGTGACTGCTTAATAAATTTGCTGACAAATCATGTCCCATGCTCTATTCAGTGCTAGACAATATACAATTCTGAAATTTTGAAAATGTATGTACTCACTAACTGTAAGTCGCTCTGGATAAGAGCATCTGCTAAATGACTAAAATGTAAATGTAAATGTAAACAGCATATACTGTATAGGCCTTATGTAAAGTGTTATTTTATCTTTGATAATTCTCTGGAACATGTTTATTGGGCTGCTAACATTGAAATAAACAAGAGTGAATGAACATTGTAAACAATTAAACAGAGAAAAGGCAAATGGACCAAAATGGCTAGAAAAGTTTTGCACATACAGTATAAAATAATGGATCTCCCAAGTGTTTCCTGACTATGTGTCCTGAACAGGAACATCTCTTGCCCTGGTGTTTTACTGGGGCCCAGAGTTTAGGTCACATGGTCAGGAAATGTTTCTGCATTTGTGACATTTATTCACACCTTTTGCTTGTGACATGATTATGTAGAAGCTTTCATCACCAGAAGAGCACCCTCTTATCAGATTCAGATTCTTAGCTTGTTGTTAGATCTGATGGAATGCTGTTGGTATCAAAACACATTATCGTTGTATCTGTGATTACATTTAGCTGATTTCAAGAAGTGTTGGTCCTTTGGGAACTCAAGTGAATCTGATGATGTCATAAAATAGGTCCTCATTGTCTCCACTGCAGAGGTCGGTAAACGGCTGAGCCTGCTGAATTTCCTTACAGCTCATTTCCATAAGCTCTGTAGAAGAATTCCATTTGTGCAGCCTTAAAAGGTACACTTTTGAATGTTTCCTTCTCTTACTTTGCAATCTCAAACATATTCAAAGAGTTTCAAAGCAGTCTCTCTGCTAATAATGTAGTCTTTCCACACTGAAATAAAGTATTGAGAATCAGGATCCCATATTTCGTTTTTATCCTGTTGTATGGTACAGTATGTTCATCTTCTTCTTACTTCAGAAGCCACTGGTTTACTGGAAAGAGAACAAAGAGATGTGGAGGTTAGAATGAACTGCTTGAACTGGAAACACAAAGAAAATGCTTGAGACTTAGAACCTACAAAGAACCTGTTAATTTTGAGGGACGAGGCAGTTCTCTACAGACATCTCAGAACTATAGAAGACTGAGCCAACATACACTCAGGCCAGTTTATTAGGTACACCCATCTAGTACTGGGTCAGACCCCACTATGCTTCCAGAACAGCCTGAATTCTTTGGGGCATGGAAACATTGATCAATTGGCATCAAGGGACCTAACGTGTGCCAGGAAAACAGTATATTGGATTTCTAAAAACACAAACCGGTTTCAGAATACAGTATGTGCAGTTTATATTATTATGACAAACTTCTTTCTCACTGTCTGTTTTTACCAATACCTGCATTTTACCATACCCGGAAAGTTTCAAGTATCTGTGTTAATTGAATAAAGCTCCTAAACACATACATTCACACACACCTCGATACTGGGGCCTCAGGGCACGGTTGTTGGGGCAGTCCCGGCCCTGCTTGCTGAAGTTGATGTTGGTGCGGATACAGCGCTGTAGGAGAGGCTGGGCGGGCCTCGTGTTGTCACTCATACTGAGGAATATCTTATACGGCTCATTCTGACTGAGCAGTCGCAGAGAATGCATCTAAAGAGATGGAGTGAGAGAAAGAGGGAAAGATGGACAGATAAGCTTTATGGTAAAGAATCTACACAGTCTCAAATACTGCCAACTATTGAGTAACTTCTGACTAACATGAGTTCATGTTATTATTGAGTCTATGATAGAGAGTGAGTTACCTGCATCTGTGTGACGTACACAGGTTTGTTCATGAGGATCCAAGTGGCTGTCTCAAAGCAGGGTGGGGTAGTCATGGAGCCTTCGTATGTTATAAAATGTGTAGTGTCTGGATATAGATCTGCTATGTTGAGCCCCATGAGTAAGAATGCATCATCTGGAGGTGGACCAAAACAGAGGTAATCAGATTCATACTGTACCATCCTCAACACTTTATACACTGTATTACAGAATAATAATAATAATACATTTAATTTGTATAGCGCTTTTCATTACAGTGTTCTCTCAAAGCTCTACATAGGCAAAAATAATAATGATAATAAAATACAAATTACAATAAAAACATCATACATTTAGAATCAAGGCAGGAAATAGCAATAGTAGGCTAGTTGCTAAAATAACTTTCCAGATTAGGACTATAAGAAAGACAGTCTGTAGAAATGTGTTTAAAGACCCGTTTTAAAAGTTCAGATTGACGGAGCGGCTCTCAAATGGTCAGGGAGAGCATTCCATAGACGAGGGGCAAAGGAGCAGAAGGCTCCCCCATAGTACGGAGACGTGTCTTAGGGACCTGAAGCAGTGGTGAGTTGCTGGAGCGGAGAGCGCGAGGTGGCTCATTGATAGAAATGAGGTCGCTGATGTAGGTGGGAGTCAATCCATTCAAGGCTTTAAACACTAGGTTGAGGATTTTAAAGTAAATCCTATGGTCGACCGGTAGCCAGTGGAGTTCAGCAAGGATGGGGGTGATGTGGGCTGACTTCTTGGTCCTGGCAGGACTCTTCTGGAGAAGTTGTAGCCTCTGAAGTGATTTGGTTGAAAGGCCCCCGAACAGAGCATTGCCGTAGTTGATCCGGGAGAAGATGAAGGCATGGACGAGTGTCTCTGCATCTGGCTGGGAGAGCGATGGTTTGAGCCGGGCAATGTTTCTTAGATGGAAAAACTATGTTTTGCAGATATGTTTTATATGGGCATCAAAGGACCGAGAAGGATCAAACTTAACTCCCAGGTTAGAGATGACAGAGGACAGATGGATGACTTGACCGTCACTAGTAGGGCAGATGTTTCCAGCACTGGTGACCTGCTTGGGTGTCCCAATAAGCACAGCCTCAGTCTTGCTGCTGTTCAGCTGGAGGAAGTTATCTTTAATCCGTGCCTTGATGTCATCTAGGCAGCTGCCAAGTTTTGCTAGGGCTGAGATGGTGTCCGGATTGATGTAAATATATACTTGGGTATCGTCAGTGCAGCAGTGGAAATTGATGTTATAGTCTCTGAGGATTTGGCTGAGAGGGAGCATGTAGATTAGGAATAGAATAGGCCTCAAAAAGGACCCCTGCGGGACACTGCATGTGACTGTAGACTCCTCCGATCTGGACTCTCCAATCGTGATGTATTGCTTCCTATTGGAGAGGTAGGAGGAGAACCAGTTCAGAGCATTTCCAGAGACTGCAGTGTGCTCTCTGAGATGCTGCAGGAGGATGTTGTGGTCAGCAGTGTCAAAAGAGCAGGAGGCTCTTGATCCAGATTCTGCAGCTATCAGTAGGTCATTGGTAACTTTCACCATAGGCTGTTTCGGTTCTGTGCAAGGACCGGAAACCACACTGGAAAACTTTGTTCAGCTGATTGGAAGACAGATGGGATTGAAGCTGGTTTGCATCCACGTTCTCCAGTACTTTTGATAGGAAGAGGTTGGAGATGGGTCTGTAGTTAGATAGGAAGTCCTGGTCAAGGTTGGGTTTCTTCAGTAAGGGGGTGACTGCAGCTGGTTTGAAGAATGATAGTACCTCCCCGGTCAGCAGGGACTTGTAATACAGTATAACACCCAATTATTATAGTAATGGGATACAAATAAAAGGATGATTAGTGATTTATTTAATGTAATTAGTTTAATTTAATTAAATTAATAAAAATTAAATTAACCAGACTTAATGAAGAGCATCAAACTGAAAGAAAAGAGAGTTTGGGTAGAGGCTGTTAATGATAACCATAGCAATGTTACAAAATTGTTGTCTTTAAAGAATGCCAATTTTCGATCAGCTTGGAGCATTCTGAAATTGCAAACAGGAGATGAATCAAACATTTCTCAGGGTTGGGGGCGGTTTCTATTGTTACACATCTTATCTATTGAACCAGGAGGATCACATTGGCAATGTAGCTGATTCATTCAGTAGTTGGAATGAATTTCACTCAATCTCTGATTAAGTCAATCTCTGGCAACCTTCCAATTAGCCAAATGAATTCAGTTGCTAGATATTCTTTTTATGCCGGATCCAGAAATGGAACTGCCTACTAGTCTTTTAGCCAGACATCTGTGACTACTGTAGATTTGACAATGTGTGTGCATAACCCACACATCTTAAATGGCTGAGGATGCTTACGTTTGTATGTTATTCTCGTGATGGTGTCTCTGTTCAACATGCGATTCAGGAATACATTTGGAGACTCAGATATCTGAGAGGGAAGAGATGTAAAGGAACATAAAATATTCAGCATACGCAGCACAGTCCCATGAAATTCTGAATAAAGACCACTGTCACTACAATAGACCACAGAGAAGGAGATTGTCTGCATCAAGCACAAACTGACCTTTATGAATATGGACACAATTGCTATGCCATTGGGGCTCTTGGCTGCCTCACTGTAGTTGGCATAGAGTTCCTGGTTGTAGTGTATAAGTTGCACCTGTAAGTGAGACGAGATAAAGACTAAACACAGTGAGCCCTTCATTTCCTGGTGTTAGACCATGTGAGATAGAAAGTGATTTTGTCTTGCACATGAAAGCATTATGTCAGATTAAACTAATTTTATCCATCCAACCAGCACTCGAAGATAAACTCAAGAAATTCAGGAATGTTTTGCTTTGACACTTATCTGCTCTGTAGTTTTCTAATTTAGAAAAGGATTCAGCTCTAATTATCTAGGCAGGCGCTTACTTTTGGCAACAGATCTTCCTCACTTAAAAATGGTGATTAAGGACTGGAAAATGTTAGCCAATTCTCATTTAAATCGTGACAGACAAACTCCGTATGGCACCTGATAAGTTTACTGCTTTTACTTTCTTGTCATTCTAATATCGCCCTCCTCCACTAAAAAAACCCACTGCCACTAAAAACTCACTGCCACTTGTCGGTCCAGCCTTCAATTACATTGTTAGGATGCAGATTGCTGTTGCTCTTCTACCCCACCCTTCAAAGGCCCTGTACATGAGATTAGTGGACTGAGTGATAGAGGTAGTTCAGCATATTTTATCATTATCCATTGTTTGAGAAAATCTTCCACACAAACAAGCCTTGGTAGGGCTGTGTAAAGCAGTGAAGCCTTAACTGTAATGCAAGTTTGATTGAATTGAGCCCTTAGTCAAATGAAAGCAGTGGATTGGGTTGTTTATAGACACAACAAAGATAAAGATAATCCCTCTCGGCTCATTGGCTCGTTCTCTCTCACCTCTGCAGGGAAGGTCTGTCCATTGAGCAGGTGCTCCGAGCCCTGGCTGTCCTCGCTGCCGAAGTGCAGGCGGATCTCCTCCAGCCGGTGACTGTAACCCAGAGGTCCACCGGAGATGTTCACCAGGTGAGCCTTGTCTGGCCGCAGTGACACGTGGCGCCCTGTGTTGTACATGGTGCCTCCCATCTGCACAGAGAGGAAAGAGAGGAGTCAAGTGAGGTCTCACCTGAAAGACCTCTACAAAAATATAAAACACAACATGCAACAATTTATATAGTCCCGTGTAGCTCAGTTGGTAGAGCATGGCGTTTGCAACGCCAGGGTTGTGGGTTCGTTTCCCACGGGGGACCAGTATGAAAAAAAAAAAATATGCACTCACTAACTGTAAGTTGCTCTGGATAAGAGTGTCTGCTAAATTACTAAAATGTAAAATGTAAAATATAAAGAAAATCAGTCAATTGAAATAAATTCATTAGGCCCTAATCTATGGATTTCACATGACTGCAAATACATATATGCATCTGTTGGTCACAGATACCTTTAAAAAAAGGTAGGGGTGTGGATCAGAAAACCAATCAGTATCTGGTGTGACCACCATTTGCCTCATGCAGCGCAACACATCTCCTTCGCATAGAGTTGATCAGGCTGTTGATTGTGGCCTGTGGAATGTTGTCCCACTCCTCTTCAATGACTGTGTGAAGTTGCTGGATATCGGCGGGAACTGGAACACGCTGTCATACACGTCGATCCAGAGCATCCCAAACATGCTCAATGGGTGATATGTCTGGTGAGTATGCAGGCCATGGAAGAACTGGGTAATTTTCTGCTTCCAGGAATTGTGTAGAGATCCTTGCAACATGGGGCTGTGCATTATCATGCTGAAACATGAGGTGATGGCGGCAGATGAGCGGTCTTGCCACAGTATCTTTGTGCATTAAAATTGCCATTGATAAAATGCAATTATGTTCGTTGTCCGTAGTTTATGCCTGCCCATACCATAACCCCACAGCCACCATGGGGCACTCTGTTCACAACGTTGACATCAGCAAACCGCTTGCCCACAGGATGCCATACACGCAGTCTGCCATCTGCCCGAAACAGTTGAAACCGGGATTCATCTGTGAAGACCACACTTCTCCAGCGTGCCAGTGGCCATCGAAGGTGAGCATTTTCCCAATGAAGTCTGTTACAACACCGAACTGCAGTCAGGTCAAGACCCTGGTGAGGATGATGAGCACGCAGATGAGCTTCCCTGAGACGGTTTCTGACAGTTTGTGCAGAAATTCTTCAGTTGTGCATACTCAGTTTCATCAGATGTCCGTGTGGCTGGTCTCAGATGATCCCGCAGGTGAAGAAGCCAGATGTGGAGGTCCTGGGCTGGCATGGTTACACGTGGTCTGCGATTGTGAGGCCGGTTGGATGTACTGCCAAATTCTCTAAAACGACGTTGGAGGCGGCTGATGGTAGAAAATGTACATTACATTCTCTGGCAACAGCTCTGGTGGACATTCCTGCAGTCAGCATGCCAATTGCACGCTCCCTCAAAACTTGAGACATCTGTGGCATTGTGATGTGTGACAAAACATTTTTTTTTAGTGGCCTTTTATTTTCCCCAGCTCAAGGTGCACCTGTGTAATGATCATGCTGTTTTATCAGCTTCTTGATATTTCACACCTGTCAGGTGGATGGATTATCTTGGCAAAGGAGAAATGCTCACTAACAGGGATGTAAACAAATGTGTGCACAAAATTTCAGCTCATGAAACATGGGACCAACACTTTACATGTTGTGTTTATATTTTTGTTCAGTGTAATTCTTTATCATTTTTTATTTTTTATTTTTTTATTTCACCTTTATTTAACCAGGTAAGCCAGTTGAGAACAAGTTCTCATTTACAACTGCGACCTGGCAGTTGTACATTTCCATTATGGGTAGGGAGAAAAAAAAACGTACGCTCCAATTGCAGTTTCCCATTACTGCAATGTAAAATTATTATAATATTCCTCAGGCTCATAATCACAGAATAATCATTTGGCATCGGCTGTAGGCCTGCAGTAAAGGTGGATTAAAATCAAAAAATGAGAAAATCGTCTTCCAAATCTAATTTCATTAAGGAAGCAGGTGAAATTAATAATAAACTAACTGAGAAACCAACTCTCACATTGTTTGAAGTGACACATCGAAATGCCCAACAGGTAAAGGAAGACTTTCAAAGCTTTGTTACATTCTTTCATATAAAACTCGGATAACATCAATACTTATAATGAAATGAGAGGGAGTTAAGGAGGAAAAGGGAAGGGAGAGACTTCAGTGTTATGCCCATGTAGATCATGATGGAGTCATTTATCATAGGGTGATCCACTTAGTTCATTTATACAAAAAATACTGCAGATGATTAAATGAGGTAGGAAAAGCAATATATTTCACCTGACACATGTTTTTTAATAGCCCTTTAAACAGGGGCCCTTTCTACTCTTTCTACTTAGTGCATAATGCATGTAATCAAATTAGCAAAATGGTGAGAGCTGAAAGTTAATTCAATTCCTCAACACTGTTATGTATTAGACCAAATCTTCCACTGACACCTATTCTAATTACCAGGCAAAAGAAGCACTCCGCAGGCACTGAGCTGGAACTGAGCTGGAACTAGGGCCAATACTTTGTTGTAGGCTCTGTTTTGGGGATTCTATTATCTCTACTGGCTAGTAAGCAAACAAATGTGATGAGGCCCTATTTTATTTTTATTTTGTCATTTAGCAGACGCTCTTATCCCTTTGTCATACGAATATGTTTTCTCTAAATCCACCTACTGTTCACTGAACAGCCTTCAAAATCCTTCAGATAACAGTGGTGCATTAAAGTCTGATAGAAAAATATATAATAAGAACATTTAGAGTACCCACTTAACAGTGCATTCAATGTACAGAATATATATATTAAAATAGTTGCAGACAGGTTTTAGGTCATATTTAGTTCACAGGGTTATGATTTTTTTTATAACGGCAGATGTTTGAAGTTTTTCAGTTCTTGAATTCATCTTGTGTAGCGACCGACTACACTCTAAATCAGTGCTTTTATACTGGCCGGGCATGGTCACATGGTCACTCAATCAAACCAAATCAAATCTCTTAACATAACTTCAATTTATTAACAGTAGCATGGACATTCAATTGGATATTCTACCACAAACTGTTTTTCAAATGCTCTCCATTCTGTGCTGTCTCATTGACACCACAGACTAGGCCTACCAAACAGGCTGAAATTTTGCAGATGAACCTCAATTCCATTCAGATTCACAATGATCATTGATTATGACAACACACAATGCTCTAGCTACCTTGAATGCAATGCATTTGTACTTAAAGTCATGCTAGAGGAGGAGTTGACACAATAACACTCCTGTTGAGGGATTTACCGATTTTGCTGCCCGCTTTAAGCATTCCCAAACAGAGCATAAAAGCTGCTTACCATGAGTGATAGATTAAACATGGCTACAGGGGCAAAAATCCCCCCACGCTTCATTGAGTTGAAAAGGCTTGGGACTAATTGCTGTTCTGCTTCAGTGAATTGAGTCCAAATATTGGGGGCTTACATTTTGGGGACATTTGATTATAATTAGACATTTGTTTTGTATCAGGTTAGGTTAAGCCTTTCCCCTCTGCTGTACAGTGAACTGTCCCTCAGGCTTGAGAGATAGGTTCTACAGTGCCTTTAGAAAGTATTCACACCCCTGGACTTTTTCCACATTTTGTTGTGTTACTAAGTGGGATTCAAATGATCTACACAAAATACTCTACACAAAATACTCGAATGTCAATCCAAATCCAAACATTTCTAAAAAAGTAATAAAAAATAAAACACAAATTGGTCTTGATTAGATAAGTGTTCAACCCCCTGAGTCAATACATGTTAGAATCACCTATGGCATCAATTACAGCTGTGAGTCTTTCTGGGTAACATTTACATTTATATTTACGTCATTTAGCAGACGCTCTTATCATTTACATTACATTTTAGTCATTTAGCAGACGCTCTTATCCAGAGCGACTTACAGTTAGTGAATACATATTTTTTTTATACTGGCCCCCCGTGGGAATCGAACCCACAACCCTGGCGTTGCAAACGCCATGCTCTATCAACTGAGCTACATCCCTGCCGGCCATTCCCTCCCCTACCCTGGACGACGCTGGGCCAATTGTGCGCCGCCCATGAGTCTCCCGGTCGCGGCTGGCGGCGACAGAGCCTGGATTCAAACCAGGATCTCTAGTGGCACAGTTAGCACTGCGATGCAGTGCCTTAGACCACTGCGCCACTCAGGAGTACAGAGCGACTTACAAATAGGTGCATTCACCTTATAGCCAGTGGGTTAACCACTTTACAATGTTTTTTTTTTTTTTTTTTGGGGGGGGGGGTGGGTTGGGGTAAGGGGGGGTAGAAGGATTACTTTATCCTATCCCAGGTATTCCTTAAAGAGGTGGGGTTTCAAATGTCTCCGGAAGGTGGTGAGTGACTCCGCTGTCCTGGCGTCGTGAGGGAGCTTGTTCCACCATTGGGGTGCCAGAGCAGCGAACAGTTTTGACTGGGCTGAGCGGGAACTATGCTTCCGCAGAGGTAGGGGAGCCAGCAGGCCAGAGATGGATGAACGCAATGCCCTCGTTTGGGTGTAGGGACTGATCAGAGCCTGAAGGTACGGAGGTGCCGTTCCCCTCACAGCTCCGTAGGCAAGCACCATGGTCTCTAAGTACTGTAACCAGTAGTCTCTAAGAGTCTCTAAGAGCTTTCCACACCTGGATTGTGCAACATTTGCCCATTATTCTTTTCAAAATTCTTCAAGCTCTGTCAAATTGGCTGTTGGTCATTGCTAGACAGCCATTTTCAAGTCTTGCCATATATTTTCAAGCCAATTTAAGTCAACTTTAACTAGGCCAACATTCACTGTCTTCTTGGTAAGCAACTCCAGTGTAGATTTGGCCTTGTGTTTTAGGTTATTGTCCTGCTGAAAGGTGAATTCATCACCCAGTGTCTGGTGGAAAGCAGACTGAAGCAGGTTTTCCTCTAGGATTTTGCCTGTGCTTAGCTCCATTCCGTTCATTTTTTATCCTGAAAAACTCCCCAGTCCTTAACGATTACAAGCATACCCATAACATGATGCACCCATCACTATGCTTGAAAATATATGGAGAATG